CGTGAGGTAACAGTTGTTCAGCTATAAACTAAGTGTGTATTATCCTCCATTATATCCACTGCACCTTGATAAAATCCAACAGAGGTCAACACTTCAGATAAGAAATAAAGTTGTCTTAGAATGACTTATTTTTAGTGAACCAGACTGGCTACTTGTAATAAACACAACCATTTCCAAGTAATTAGTAAAAATATTTGTATAAACCAGTCTATTTTACAGTTTGGTTTCCACACTCCTTTTGAAAAATCAGAATATTTCCCCACTTCCATTCTTCTGATATTTCTATTTTTATTTAATAAAACAAAATGAGTAATATACTTAAGACAAACCCAACTGTCTAAAATTTTAAATGTATCTAAATAACAATTGGATCAACAGACTATTTGAAAACGTGGGGGAAAATCTTTGATGCAATTGCTTTATTTTTTTTTAATATTTATTCATTTTATTTATTTACTTGGTTGTGCTGCGTCTTAGTTGCGGCAGGTGGGCTCCTTAGTTGCAGCTCACAGGCTCCTTATTTGTGGCTCAGCGGCTCCTTAGTTGTGGCATGCGACCTCTTAGTTGCGGCATGCATGTGGGATCGTGCAGGGGCCCCCTGCACTGGGAGCGAGGAGTCTTAACCACTATCATCGGGGAAGTCCCGATGCTATTGCTTTAATCAGATGCAAATGTGCAGCTTTACATGCTTTTATTGGGAAAAAGAGAAAATGAATAAGTGAATGAATGAATGAACCAAGCATTCAACCTTTGGGAATATAGATAAAATAATTAAAAATGAGTTGAAAACTCATTATTTGACAAAAATATAAACAAGCATCTAACAACATTTTATTGCAAGAGGAGTGAAATAAACAAATATTAGATACTTAATATCAAACTTGAAAGAAATCTGTAGGTAAGAAGGAAATAAATCAGGGTGGTGAAAAGATTTGGTTACCAGGAAAGGAAAGAAGGTTGTGGAGAGTTTTTACAGAGGCGATACTTTTTTTTTTTTAAAAGCTTTAGAAAGGTTTTCGAAGTTGAATGAGAGCAGCTCATGATCCTGGGAATTAAGAAGGCATTGGAGACCCTAGAAGCTCCTTCAGTAAACAGAGTGTGAGTTAGAAAGCCAGGCTGCAAGAGATCAAGTTGGTAGGAAGAGGGTAGAAGAGGCAGCAAGAGTCACCCACTTTCAGAATTTCAGAAACTGTACAAAAAGGGCCCAACAATGAAGCCAGGTTGGGTTCTGGTACAGGTATTTCGAAGGATTCATGGATCTTCAGGAAGATGCCTCTGTTGCTGCTAATTTAACCCACTGAAGAGGCTGTGCTAAAAGAAAGTTCTTGGCACAGTTTCCAAACAATCCCTCCTAGGTGGTACTGTTTTTAATAATAGTATGTAGTGTAGACGACAGTAACAAAAGACTTTGATTACACAGAGCCAGTTGCTCATTAGATTTGGTGTTCAGTGTCTTGTTAACTCCAAAGCCCTCTTAGCATTTCTTTTAACACTATTTACACATTGTCGCCATCTTTTTTTGTTTTGTTTTGTTTTGTGTGTTTTTTTGTGGTACGCGGACCTCTCACTGTTGTGGCCTCTCCCGTTGCGGAGCACAGGCTCCGGACGCGCAGGCTCAGCGGCCATGGCTTACGGGCCCAGCCGCTCCTCGGCATGTGGGATCTTCCCGGATCGGGGCACGAACCCGCGTCCCCTGCATCGGCAGGCGGACTCCCAACCACTGCGCCACCAGGGAAGCCCCATTGCCGCCATCTTTAATCCAATCCAGTCCGGTCCTCACTGTCCATCAGATCTCTTGACAACTGCATTAATTTTCATTAATTTAGCACACGTGACTTGACAGCCAATAATAATTGTTGCAGAATGTTTAGTATGTCTTGCGAAGACCACTGCTGCTAATATTTAAGATCTCTCTTAGCTAACTTTGTCATAAAAGTTGTCATGCCTGAAACACAAACAGCGGGCAGCATGCTTAGCATGCTTGCTCTAGAAGTACATGGGTTATAATCGTTTCTACCTGAAAATAGTCACCTTCAATAGTTGTTTTCAAAATTCTTCTTATTCTTCTGGAAGCGTGGGTAGTGGATGAGGGGGAAATTGGTTGAAAACAGAAAACGTTCAAAAAAGGAAAACAGCGCTCATCCTCTTTTAAGAGCTATTCAGATGAAAAATGGTTCGGCATGAGCTTGATCTGTGTGTTTTTCATGGTTTGTAGGAGTAATGAAGATGCCATAACCATAGTCTCTTGATAATGATCTAGCAGTTTCTTAGTACTTTTATCAACATATGAATTTTAGAACTGGCAATATGGGAATTTGACTAGTACATTTTTGTTTATAAAAAAAAGGGTAACAACATTATAACTTCTTCATATCCGTGAATTATGGATCTTGACTTGCATACAAGCGAAACTAAAATGCAGTGGAACTTCAGTATCCTAATAACTCTTCTTTCCACTATGACTCGCGAGAAAGGGGGATGCACTCAGGCTGCTGAGTGCACTGCAGTGCCAGAGGTGAGCGCCTTCTGAATCCAGAATTTATGAGTTCTTTACATGTCATTCATTCTTTTTCTCAATAAACATGTATTGAGCGCCTTCTCTGTTGCCAAGCTGTAGTGTCTATACATTGAGAGGTCTCTACTTCCTTAGGAAGCGTATAATAATTGGAAATAGGGCTTCCCTGGTGGCGCAGTGGTTGAGAGTCCGCCTGCCAATGCAGCGGACACGGGTTCGTGCCCCGGTCCGGGAAGATCCCACATGCCGCGGAGCGGCTGGGCCCGTGAGCCATGGCTGCTGAGCTTGCGCGTCCGGAGCCTGTGCTCCGCAACGGGAGAGGCCACAGTGCTGAGAGGCCCGCGTACCGCAAAAAAAAAAATAAATAAATAAAACATTGGAAATAAGTGGTGCATCATCACTATATATCCTCATCTCCATTAGGAAACATTATTTTCAATAATTTTTCAAAGAACATTAAATAACTTTGTTCTTTAAAGATGAAATGATGCAAAACGAACCATTTGAAAAAGGATTTTTTTTCACATTTCATGCATTATAAATGAATAGCTCGTTTCTTTTATAAAGCAAATTCCAGGTTTTAAATTTGATTTGTCCAATCTCTGAAGCAATATGTTTCCCATACCTAGCCCATAATATTAGCTAGGACCATTAAAGACTTTATGGAAGGAAGAAGCATACTGTTCTTTGCTTTTTATTACAGAACTCTGGATCAGTTCTGTTTTAGCGCCCTATCTAGTAACGGCAAGGATACAGCTGTCATATAAAAAGTAGGAGAATTACCATGTAAGTGCTGCCAGGTAGATCTGAGAGGACAAAATGATGGCAAAATTCAAGGTAACTAAAATCATAACAAGTGGGTCCCTCAAACTTGATTTTCAGTTTCCTACTTTTATGAAAAAGAAGCTAAATGCGAGAAAACAAGCTTCTATTAATGATTGGGCAGTAAAAATGCAAACTTTGATATTGACATGGTCAGCCTCCTACAACTAAAATAATTTATAATCATAACTGGTCTTTCACGTAATAGCCCTGAGATACTTCAAGATGATGAATCATTTGGGAAGTAATCATTCATTTTAGCCAATGTTGACTTGGTGTCCTCTATCTGCCAGACAGAGCACAGGTGCTGGCAAACCCTGGTGTCCGAGAGAGGACCTGTCTGAGAGGGAGCGGGGAGTGGAGGGGAGTTGACTGCTGCTGAGACGTGGCGCGAAGTAAGGATGGACCTTTGCTCTGCGGAGTCATTGGTGACCTCCAGGGGTGGTTTCAGAGCGATGGCAAGGACGCCACAGCCAGACCTTAGTGGGCCAGGACTGGAGAAGCACAAGTAGCACATTAAGACACTTCTGAAAAGACGTGTTGTGAGGAGGGAAAGAAGTAGGATGGTAACCAGGAAGGAATGAGGGTTCAAAGGAGAAGTTGGGAGACACGCTTGCGTGCACACACACACACACACACACCACGGTTGTGTGCTCATGGGAAAGATACGGTAGAAAGGGGGAAATGGTGATGCAGGAGAGCAAGATCCAGGAGCAACAGTCTCCAAAGGTCAGAGCAGATGGGATCTCCCCGCACGTGGGAAGGCGGGCCGTGGCCAGGAGCAAGGGACGCTTCCTCCATGGGAATAGGTATAAAAGCTTAGACCACAGGTAGACGCAGCTGCCTTTTAACACATATTTCTAGAACACCAGTTATGTTTTAGGCGACTGGCAACATGGCAGAGAGACCGAAGTCCTGTCTCCATGAAACTTTTATTCCAGTGGGGGTTGGGGGAGGTGGACAGATCATAGCCAAATAAGTAAAATATGTAGTATGTCAGATGATGCAGAGCGCCATCAGGAAAAGTAAAGCAGGGACGTGGGGAAGGAGGATACGGAACGCGGGGGCGGTACTGTGGGGTGAGGGTGGACTCAATTCTCGTGGACCAGAGCCCTTGATGTACTTCTGTGAACTGACTTCATGGCTCTCAGACACATTTATTTTTCAAAGTCAGATTAAATATGGCCTTGTTCCCACAGGCCAGAGTTTGTGGGAAATCTATTCTCAGCCTGGCTTCCCAGGTGCCCCCTTCTGTGGGTTACCCCAGACTCGCCCAGCCCTGTACCTCTCCTTCAGAGTCCTCACCACAGGTTTTAGTCATACATCTGTTTATGTGATTATGTGATGAATGTATTTTCTAGAATCTCCAGGAGGGAAACTATGTCTGTTTTGGACAGTTGCAGTGTTGGCTATAATGGGCCCTGTTTGTTGAATGAATGAATGAATGGAAAGTAAAAAGACTATTTTCCATAAGCCACATCTTTAAGAATCTTGTTGTTTTCTTATTCTGTGGTCACTTTGAAATTATCACGCCTCACTTCATGTAGCTGATCTAGACCTTTTCCAAAGCAGGTAAGGTATGTTTTTATATCAACAGAGCATGTGAAATAGAGTTGTCCTCTAATTTAAACAATGTCTCTCCACCTAATTTGTTTTTTTACAGGACTAGTGCCAAAGGTGCTCCCCTGAATATAAATAAGGTCTCTACTAGCCTGATGAATTTTGGAAGAAAGTTGATTTCTCCGGCAGCGGCCCCGGGCGGTGCGGATGGCCCAGTACCGGGAAGCAGTGGCGGTACCTCCTCCCCGGCTGTGGTTCCCACCAGGACCCTAGCAGAGGCCCCCAAGCATCCTCTGCAGCAGCAGCAGAGGCTGATGAAATCGGAAAGCATGCCAGTGCAGCTGAACAAAGGTAAGGGAAAATACTGGTTAATCTAGAGGAAACACTCCCAAGGTAGCCTGGGATTTCCTCACCTGTCTATGAGGAATCACCGTCCTAGAAAGAGAAATTAGTGCAAGACTTAATTTTTTAAAATCTGTTATAGTAGGTCCTTTTTAAATGGCAATATCAGATACTATATTGTTCTTAAGAACGTTTTATGAGGTAATTTGTTAAAGTACTTGTTTTAACATCTGTACCTTAGTATACTTGCATTTGCGTCCTGGTGATACCCACAGAGTATGGCGTGAACTGTCACAGCACGGAACTTGACGTCAGTTGACCGAGATCTCTGCTAGCTTTGTATAGTGATGCTTCTGGCTAGAAGAGCATCTGAGGTGGGAAGGTCTGGTACCCTGGGCTCTGCTAGTCACAGCATTTGTCCGTGCAGTTGGTTTGGAGGAAGCGGGTCACCAGGCTTGCAGTCCCTGTTCCACCTGCTTTACCTCCAAGGAATACAAACTAGAGCCCAAACCGGGGAAGAGGCCAAACAGAATATCTCAGGCAGCAGAGCTAGTGTCTGAGTCCCTGCACTGAGAGAACCAGAGAACGTGAGAGCCGGATCACTCAGTTGACGAGTGTGCACTGCTGCTGGGAGTGCCGTCAGCGGCTCTCCTGCTGCTGGGACTCAGGTACGCTCCTTTCCATTTCAGGGCCTTTCCAGCGCTTCACCTGCCTCCAGTGTTTTGTTCATAAGGGAGCCCTTCAGGTTCTTACTCATAACCTTTTTCTCTTATTTTCTACTTATTTCCAAAGACATATGAATTAAGTACCCCTACTCATAGCCGATTAGAAACAGCCACATTTATTTTTAGTGATGGGACTCTGCTGTCTATACTACGGAAGCAAGAAATAGTAACACGATGGCAGAAAATCTACAAAAATCAATCCTAAGGCCTCACAAAGCATAGTGTCTGTGGCCAGTTAGTGTCAGAGCAAATACCCTCCTGACCCCTGCCTCATCTGTGTCTTAAAGGTGTCCCTGGATCATAGCTAAGTTCAGTAACAGGTGTTGACAATAACAATAGTAATATTGAATCTGTAAGAAGACCTTAAACCATGTTCCATATACTCTGTTTAAGAAGATTGCATCCAAAATTAGTTTAAAAATTAAATTATTGGCATTTAAACTGGTCAGAACTTAAGTTAAATGGACTCTTCTCCAATGATAGAAAATAATGAGTTTTTCAATAATAAGTGTGTGTTCTTCTATTAGTTTCATCATATTATCTATCATTGCCTATATGAAGAATTAGACTTTATATATTTAGTATTTAAATTTCTATTAGAATATTCCATTTACCTTACATATGAATGTCTCTTTTAAAATTACATTCTTCTCTTTTTAATGTAGAGCTATCACACATGATTTAAAGAATAGGAGACTTCAGATCATTAACATATTGTAAATGTATTTTAATGCCAGGAGACATGCCCACTTCCAGGATGGAAATGAATGTTATTTTATATATTTCTTAATTGTACTGTTTTACTGTTCTAAACAAATATGATTTCAATATTGCTTTGATAACAAGCTGTAGTCAGTAGTAGTTCTAACTGATGGCAGCAAATGAGTCAGAGAATCTCTTAATGCCGTTAAATTTTCTGAGGAACCAAGCCAAATGACTATAGAAATATAAAGTTGTGTCTCTAAGGAAATGTCAAGTATTAATATCACAGTAAGTGAGAAAGGAAGTGCATGAGGATGGAACAATTGATGAAAACGAAGTCTCCAGTTACAAGGAAACAACAGAGCACTTAAGCAAAGTATTTGGAACATGAGCATCACTGGGGCATTTTGTAACTGATCCCTGCGCTGAACAAAAGTGGTCTTGTTTGGCAACTCTCCTTTTTATTTCTGGTTTGTTCTTGTCGTGTCAACCTACAAAAAGCTTGTCTACCTTCATATTAAAGGTATATCGTCCTGCTAATGCCTCTCCCTGCATGAAGTTTTGAATAAAATGGAGTAAAAGGAAGGAGAAAGGTTTATACCGGTAGAAGCGAGGGTAGGTTGATCCCCTTCCTTCATTCACTCTCCGGTGAACCAGGGGCAGAATCCTGAAGCTTTCAGACCCTTTTCCTCACCCGGAAATAAGAGGTTTGGGCTGATCCCTGGGGAGCCTCCCAGCTCCAAAAATCTGCGGTTCCTTTGGTAAAAGATACCAGCATGCATGGACATATATACACTACCAAACGTAAAATAGATAGCTAGTGGGAAGCAGCCGCATGGCACAGGGCGATCAGCTCTGTGCTTTGTGACCACCTAGAGGGGTGGGATAGGGAGGGTGGGAGGGAGGGAGACGCAAGAGGGAAGAGATATGGGAACATATGTGTATGTATAACTGATTCACTTTGTTATAAAGCAGAAACTAACACACCATTGTAAAGCAATTATACTCCAGTAAAGATGTAAAAAAAAAAGATACCAACATCGGTTGCTTATGCTGGTGTTTCCCACAAGTGTCCTGCTGTGCTACGACACTGACAAATCTGCAGGTGTGTCACCGGGCCCGGGAATGAGTGAGCACAGTGTTTACCCTTTCGGAAGGCATGTGTTGGAATAGGGCTTCTGACCATCTCAGAACAGAGTCATCTACTTGGTGCCCTTTTTAGTGTACTCTGCTGGAAAATTTTAAAGTTGTTTTGAAAAGTGGTTGTTTACGCAGCTGGATATCCTTATGGCTTTCATAGGTTAGTTAACTCCCGATTACCTGTGCTTGTATAGGGGAAGAGTTCTACGGAGAAGCCAACATTCATGTAGGTGTCACTTGAAATGCCTTCTGCTGTTGGCATCTCTGTTGGGGCCGGGGTCCTGAAGGAGGGAGGGAGCACAGGTGATCCTCCATCATTTTCCTTGTGACATCCAATATTAAAATTAGTCTCAGTCTCTAAATATACATTAATAGGTGATCCAGAAGCAGCAGAGTGAAATGGGTAGCAAGCATAGAATTGAAAATTTTCAGATGTACAGAAAACGAGGCACACCATTCACCAGTGAATAGAGAGTTAACTATATTATGAAAATTCAGGACCTGAGAAGTTCCACGAAAAGTTGTTTATCACTTGTTTGGCATATGTACCTATTTATAGATTTTATTTCAGCTATAGGAGAATATAAATGCATGTACCGTTAATTGATAGGAATGGTCTAATTACAACCCAATAATTTCCAGGTGAGCTGGCTGTGCTGTAAATCATAATGGTAGCAAGTGGTCAAGGCACTGAGGGTTGTTATATAATTCAAAAATTGATTTTTTTTTTTTTTTACTATTGTGTAAAAGCTACAGGGAAAGCAAATCTGTTAATCATACATTATCGTACATAGAAAATATGGTGCCTTTTAAGAAGGCTTGTTTTTCAGCTCATTAATCTCAAAATAGCATGGCGCTTCAGATGCTGATCTATCCAGGGGATGATTCTGTCGACAGCAACTGTGCTTCATGTTGAACTTTGTCATCCAGGAAGGAAATCAAAGAACCAAAAAAATCTTCCTTCTCAGTGGCCGTGTACCTCGAATGCTTCTCAGTACTTCCTTTTCCTTTCTTTCCTGCATTTTTTAAATGTACTCCCTTCCCCCCGCTTTTCCTCTGTTTTTTGAATTTGAACACTTCTTTATTTTAAGCATTTACTGCAGGTCCAATTTGTAAATGAAATCTCGCCTATAATAAGTATATCAAGTTTAAAGGGTATGCAGTTCACAGATTTATTTTTACATGTTGACATTTATAAGTGCATGTGGTAACTTATGAAATCTTTTCAATACTTAATATGAAATTAGAACTTGTTTAGGTCTTTATCTTATCACTGAAGAAATTGGTTTCAAGTTTAGTTAAAAATAAATTTTGTCTGTTGCAGGAGGAAATCAATTTCAGAAGAATGTTGACTTCTTAATAAAGGCATATAACTTACTTTTGGATAAAGAATTTTTTTAAAAAAATAAGAAAATATAAAATCATGCTGTTATTTATAGCATAATGAAATCTGCTCGGCCAAGTCTTCTGATGGCTAAAGTTTCCTATACTTTAGACTAATAGAAACTTGTTTTTTTTCCTTAAGAAAAACAGGCACAAAAGCTTTTTAGGAAACACTTTTTAAAAATCAGTTTCTTTAAAAAATATTTTATATTTTTCTAAGATTGTGTTGTATTTTCTGTTTCACTGTACTTTTAGTAATTAGGTTGATAAGTAAAAGTATTCCAGCATTAAATATGAAAGAAAAGTTGATTTTCTTTTCCTCTTTATGATATCTAATTATTTTTTCTTATGAAATCCAGGCGATGTAGTTACAGGAAGCGATGCTCAGGTTTCTGTTCCTGCCCAGACCCTAACTGACCTCCCAGGTACAGTTACCATGGCAATGCAGTATCTCTTTGCCTGCAGTACTATCATTGCCTCTTCCCAAACTCCATTTTCCTTTTTGCCCACCTTCCATTCATGCTGTTTATCAGTTCACTCCATTGTTCAGCCACTGAGTGGCACTGTTGTTTAGAACAAAAGTCCCCTCTCATGTCATATCGTGCTGATGCTGATGCCAAATCCCGTTAAGCTGTGGGGTTTTTATCAAGTTTGCACCAGCTTCTTTCCTTGCCGAAATATGGTCACTCTAGATTTTGTGATTATTTCACCACCACATTTTATTTGGCAGCTCACGCTGAGGTGTTCTTTCAGTTGTGCACAGGTGCTCTGTGACAAGATTTGACAAATTAGTTCTGAGGTTAAGACATTTTAGATGCTGTGTGTATACATATTATTGTATGTATTAGCCATAGGTACTTATTATATTTTAGCTAAAAGAATTACAACTTGATTCTGAAATACATTTTTAAGTACAGGCTTCATACTATGAATCGTATTAACAGAATTAAAGTTCACTGTGAGAAATCTCTATGTAGAGTCATTGGTAATGATTTAAAATAAAAAGATAATAGTTAAATATCATAACCGTGTGTTCAAAATCTAGAAGAAGTTTATTTA